CTTCACCTCCTTGCCCTTGGTGTTCGTCCTGTCTCCGCCGGCCCCGTTGCCCTTTTTGTTTTTTTTTTGTTATTTCTTTCTCTCTCTCTCTCTCTCTCACACACACACACACACACACACTCCGACGTCGAAGTCGAAGCGGTCACGACAACTACTGAGGGCGAGAGAACGACCCACGGAGGGGACAGCGTGAGCGGAAGGGAAAGGAAAGAGTAACGAAGCAAAACTTCGATATATATATATATATAATGTACGAGATGGAGACATTCCGTGAGCGGACGTTGGCGAATCGCTACCAACCGCGGCAACATCTGCCTCCGAACTTCCCCAACGTTCTCAAGGAATACGCTCGTGAGGTGCTTCGTGCCCAGCCTGAGGACGTGCTGCAGTGGAGCGCCAATTACTTTAAACGGCTGGCGCTAGAATCGGACCCGCTGCAGGCGCAGCAGCTCGCGCCTGCCCACCTTGCTCATGCGGCGGAGGACGAGGAGCGTGAGGCAATGACGCAGCGTTTGGTGAAGATGTTTGCTGAACTCGATAGCGGTGCGTCCGGTGTTCTGCCCATACAAACCATAAGGCAATCGCTTCTGGAGACGTGTAAGCTTACCCCCTCGCAGGCGCTCTACGTCATGACGACCACGGCGCTAGCGGAGAGCGACCCCGTAGACTACAACGCATTCGCTAAGGAGGCGTGTGGTGCGGTACTTTTCTTTGAGCAGACGCGTCACGAGTTTGAGGTGGGCAGCGTCGAGGACGCCACCGTTCATGGGCTGTCGAGGCGGGACGTGGAGCAGGAGTTTCTGCGCATCCTGCGGTACGCGGACGAGGCAGCCACAGGTCTGCTTCCCCTTGATCGCTACTGCGGCGCCCTCGCCAACGCCCCGTACCACCTCACCCGTCGCGACTTGCGACTCCTTCGCATCGAGGCGGCGCGAAACAGCGAGAATGAGGTAGACTACGAAGCGGAACTTGCGTACATGTTTGATCGACTTCTGCTGGCCGAGCAGTTTTGCCGTTTCGACGAGGATGCGTGACCGCCGCCCCCCTTTGTTTGGCGGGTAGTTCCAATGTAGAGTTTCCAAACCGCAAATGAGAAGAACCGCGGCAAGAATGCAGGGGAGAAAACACAGATTTGGATGCCCTGTCGCTTGTCTGGTGAGGGTGTTTTTTTTTATTTGTGTTTGTCTTTTTTTTTGTTATTGTTATTGTTGCTTTTGCTGTTCCACTCTTTGCGGAAGGGAAGGCTGTGCTCCGGTCGCGTTGCCTGTTGCACTTTTTCGCTATCACTGTTTTGCTTCCCATGCTGTGGGACGTCCTGCTCGCTCTCTTACCCACTCCCTTTCTTTCTTTCTTTCTCTTCATGTTTTTTTTCTTCTTCTCTGACTTGCCCTGTTGTGCTTGCATCGTTTTTTTTTTCCGTGGCGCAACTTTCGAGTGCCGCCCCTGCGCTCATTCTTTTTGCACTCTGGCGTGGCTGTAGGAGGCGTGGTGACAGCGGGGTAGTGGTGTTTCTCGCCGTGCGAACCCGGTTGCGATGGACGTCAACACACTCCTAGCATTGGCGCAGAATGCGACGGATGTGGGAAACTGCAAGGCTGCACAGGAGTTTTTCGAGGTCGCCTTGACGCGCAGCCCAAACAACATTGACGTGCTGGAGGCGTACGCGGAGCTGATGATTCACCACGTGCAGGATATTCCTCGGGCGAAGCAGATGCTGCAGCACGCTATCGAGGTGGACCCGCAGCACGGTTACGTCAAGTACCTTAATCTGGCTCAGCTGTCGGAGGCAGAAGAGTCTCTGGAGTGCTATCAACGTGCTCTGCAGCTAGTTCGCGGGGAACTTCACTCATGCAGGAAAAAGAGGAGGCGGGAGACTCTGAATGAAACCCTTTCCACGATTTACTGCGCCATTGCTGAGCTATATTTAACAGACCTGTGCTACGCCCCCGAAGCGGAGCCACGCTGCGAGGAGGCCATCCTGCAGGCGCTGAAGTGCAACGGACGGAGTGTAGAAGCTCATCAGTTGCAGGCCTCCCTGCGTCTTAGTCAAAACCGCCCTGAAGAGGCGCTGCAGTCTCTGCGTCGCGCGGTGGATTTAACACACCTCCTCAGTGAGGCACATCAGCCCACGTACGATTCCAAGGTGGAGCTGAGTCGTCTGCTGATGCAAGTGTCACCTGACGACGCCTACCGCTTCCTGCTGGAGATCCTGCAGCTCGGTGACAACAACCCGTACATTTGGTTTCTGTTGGGAGAATCGGCGAGACTGCGTAAACGATATGTCGATTCCGCGCGTCTGCTTCGTCGAGCCCGCGTCATGCTTACAATGTCTAACGGTGATGCGGAGGCGCTGGCGGAGGTGGATGCGGCGATCGGCGTGTTGGTGGAGGAGATGGGCGGCCCGGCGGCGGTGGAGCAGATCGCCGACTTGGATCATCCCAACCCCATCGAGCTGCTCATGCCAGAGGACGGAGGGGCCGACGACGCAGACGACGAGAGCGAAGAGATGGATAAGCGCGAGTGGGAATCGTGCGATGACGAGGATTAACGAGAGAGCAATAACTGGAGGCGGTGTACTGTAAGCGAGTAACAAGAGAGCAGCAGGAAGTTCCTTCCACGCGGAGAAAGTCCAAACGAACAAACAAACAAAAAGTTAATGGAAGCAAGGAGTCAGGGTGTGGTGGCACCACTGAAGACGGATTTTTTTTTATTTTTTCTTTTTTTTTGATGCTGCGGTTTTTCACTTTTAATTTTTTTTTTTTACTTTGCTTTCCACCTCATGTTTTCTCTGTCTGGTTTCTTCTTCTTGTCTGACGTGGACGGATGCATGCACACCTGCACGGTTTGGTTGCCCGGACTTGCGAGGAGTCGTCCTTGTCGCACTTGCCTCCCCGCTCGGCAACACGACGCCCAGTTGTGTGTTTGTGTCTGCATTTCTTCACGGTGGTGGCGGTAGGGGGTGCGTTGCCGCAGAGCCGCGAAGATGAGCCTCGTGACGAACCCGCGGAGCATCGTCATTGAGAACGGCGATCTTTTTGACGACTCCTCCGACGAAGAGGTCGGCGTGGAGGAGGGGCGCCTGCTTGCAGCCCTCCGTGAGATCCGGGGCGTGAGCCTCCACGGGGTGGGCAACACACTGGAGGCGGCAGAGCGGGGGAGTTCGCAACGCCCCGCTGCGGCTGCACAACAACGGCGCCCTCGACAAGAGCAAGCGGAGGCGGAGGCGCCGCAAAAGCAAGCGCGACGGCCGAAGCCACGGCGGTTTGACCCAAAGGCTCTGGAACGCCTCAACGTGTCCACGGCGGCTTCCAGGGCAAGGTCGCAAAAGAAATATGTGGACCAGTTGAAGGAGAAAAAGGCGCAGAAGAAGCCTCACGCGCCACGGGCTGTGTCTCCCACCGCGACGAGGGCGGGGCTGCGCCTCTACGCGGCAGCGATGGGGTGCAAGAAGCGCCGCGAGGACAGACAGGTGGAACAGGAGAGGCTGCAGAAGGAGTGTGAAGAAAAAATGACGTTTCAACCACAGATATCCTTATTTGCTAAGCAGCTTGGAAACGCGGGGTGTGCGCCGCTACTCGAGCGCCTTGAATACACAAGAGAAAAATTTGCCAAGAACGCGCTTCTTCGCGAGCGGGAACGTATGGATCGCGCCATGGCTGGATGCACGTTTCATCCCACGCTAGCAGCCACCTCAAGAAAGATGACGGCGATGCGTCGAAAAAGTGAACCCTTCAATGATGCGGGGGAGCGTTTGTTCTTTGAAGGGGGCCGCCGCCTGATAAGGCAACAGCTTCGCGAACGAATTTTAGAAGAGGCATTTGACAACGGCGTGATTGGCGACTTTCAGATTTCAAACGATGCCGCGGAGGCGTTGGCCTTGCGATTGTGGAACTGGCAAGAGAACGCGGACCGCCACCGGGAGGCCGCGCGGCGTGAGCACGTCCAGGGTGTAACAAGGCCCTCTCCGTCAAAGTTTCGCCGCGTGCCACAAACACAGCGGGGTCAACACCGCAGCTGCAACCACATTCGTCATTCTTCCGCGACGTCGAGTTCGCCGCCTGCGTCGGAGCACAAAGTGCCGCAGCATTTGCCGGAGGATGAACTCCGTGAAATCCGCTGTCGTGCCCTTTTCAGTAAGTACGCTTCCTCGGAAAATTCCGCCTCTGTTCACCTGGCCGAGGTAAAGAGACAGGTACGTGAACTGTTCCCGGAGGACTCCGGTATTGTTGTGGCTTTGGCTGCGAGCTTTAGCGACGCCGATGAGATTAGCAAGACGGCTTTTGTAGAGAGTCTTATGCGGTTTGAGCAGTTGAATGGACCCCAGCCATGGGGAAATCCGAAGTGGGCCCATGTCACGTCAGTCGCTGATGAACCTCCGCTACTACTTTCAGCGTCCTCCTCGTTAGCTCCGCGTCGGGTGGAGGCTGCAGCCACGTTGCCTGGCAACCTGCAGCGGTCGAATTCAGCGCATGCAACTCCTTTGGCGAGGAAGCAGAAGGCAGGGAAGAAGGATGATGTGCCGTCGAGTTCATCATCCGACCGGCGGGCATCATCGCTGACGCTCGGCAGGCGCTCGTCAGGCGGAGCCTCTAATGGTCTGCAGAGCTGTGGGCCGTGCCCCCGCCAACACGAACGACATGTGACGCCGTCGACGGCGCTGCAGGAGGTTAGGCGGCGAACCGCTGAGCGAGCTGCTAGCGAACCGGGGCGCCGGTCCCCAGAGCGGCACGAGACCATGCTGCGCCAAAGGCGGGAAGAGCTTCTGGCAAGACAGCGTAGCATCCCACGCGAGGTGTCCAACGCGCACGAAGCGCAGGAACGGTCGTGGAGCCCGGGAAGTGTAGAGGTCTCGAGTATCACAGAGGAGGGTGGAAGCACACCGAGCGCGAAGCGACCGGAGGAGATTGTGGCTGAGTTGGAAGCATTGATTGCCACCCCTTCGAAGCGTTCTGCTACGGCTTCGCCGACACGACCGAGTAAGCGGCACGGTTCCGCTTCCCATGGGGGCGAGGTTTCCTCCTTATCCACTTCACTGAGAAGACGTGCACAGAACGTGTCTATTCCTGGCAGCACACGCGGCGTGGATTACTCAACGGCGAAGCAGCGCCACCTAACCCGTCAGAAGATTCTAAAGGAAGTGGAACAAGTCCTTGGTGCAGGGACTGTTTTTGTGGCAATAGACTAATCTTTGCTTAAAGCTTCGTGATTGAAGTAGATTACCTCCCTTAGATGGCGCAGCGCGCAACGCGTATTTTCTTAATATTTTTCTTGTTTCCATCCTTTACATGTACTACCTATGGTAATGAGGGGGAAGGGGCGTTTGTGGCCTTTGCTGTGATGTTGTGCCGGCACATGCACACTCATTAGAAGTGTGTTGCGTCTTCTCTGCCTTGGTTTGTGAGTGTCTCTGTTTTAATGTTTTCCCTTATTGACCTTTTTATTATTATTATTTTTTGTTTTTGCATGTTTTACCCTTTCTCTCTTTTTTTTTCTTTCCCATTTTCTTTTCTTCTCCCTTTCCATCTCCGTGTTCAATGCGTGTCACCCCTTTCCGGTTAAGGGCAGTGGTGCTTCTGCCAAGTACTCCCTTAATGGGCGATCCTTTTGTGCGCCCGGGGCTGGCGTATCAGCCGCACATTGAGCAGGTGCTGCTTCGAAACGAGGGAACACTGACGCTGGAGACCACCAAGGAGGAGTGGATAAGGTATCAGCACCGCGACACGTTGGCGAGTCTTATCTTACATCGGGACCGTTTGGAGTATCTTTCACTGGTGGAGAACGCGGCTCCGGCGCGGATGGAGCGTATTCTCTTGGAGCGTGCCGTAGACCCAGTTAGAAAGAGAGAAAGGTCTAACACCTGACAGAATGTGGCGTCTTCCCACCTTTGAGGAGCCACTGTCTGTGCGTGAATGTGTGCGAGTTTGATTGTTTTCGCGGGGATTTAACACCAGAAAAGGCTGCTTCCTTTTTATTTTTCTTCTTCCTGTCTCTCTGTTTTCACGTGTCTACAACACTTTTTCGTGGTGTACGCTGTCACTTTCCTCCCGCATGCTGTCTCTCTCTACTGCAGCCACACACCCACACACAGGAGGAACGTATATATTACCTAACGCCGTGTAGAGAGGGAAGCCATGTGGCATCGCCCGTCAGCGCTTTTGCCGCCGAGCGTATTCTCTCAATTTGCTGCAGCAAGAACTCAGCGGTGCTTTCAGGGGCGGATTCCGAACAAGGGTTATCGTATACAGCCCGCGGCGCCGGATAGGTTGAAAGATGCCGTGGCGCTTTTTGGGGCGGATGCGCACAATGTCACGCTCGATGACCCGCCCTATGTGCCGGAGGAGCAGCGGATGCACATGACCAAAGAGATTATGGGCAGCAATCAAAACATGAAGAACCATTCCAAGTTGGATCGCTTACGAGCTGCATTGGACGCAGTACACAATGAGGGACCCAATCACGAGGCGTGGAAGGAGGTGTGCCTCTTTCTTCGTACCACAGAGATGTGCTGTGAGCTGCAGAAGGATCCCACCGACGTCTTTCCCAAGGGGAAGAAGTTGTGGATTAATTTAGACGAGTGTGAGGAGAGGCGGCTTCCTGTGTTAATGCAGATGCCTAATGGGATGCTCGTTCTACCAGTCTTCTCAATGGAAGAGTATCTTGATCACTATTTTTGTAGGGTGGACGTCTTTGAGTCCTGCTGGTTTCCCATTCCCAGGATGGGCACTCGATTCGAGGAGTTTTGTCAATTGCCCTTTCCAGTGACGGCTGTTGGGAGTATGCAGCACTTTAGCGCCCTTGCCACTGTGGCGTTGCGAGTATCTCAGTTTGGCATCCTAGTCAATCCTGGTCAGCGTACCAGCAAGTTCATCACCTATCCGGAAATGGTGGAGCTTGCCAAGCAGCGAAGCATGCGACCCAAGGAGCGAAACACAGACCTGAAGCGCAGAACTAATGGTGTGGAGGAAGATATATTTGATCGAAGCTTTCTTTGTGGATTCGACACGACAAAACTCGTTATGAAGCGCATCGAACCTTTTCAACTAGAGGAGTTGCTTTGTCATAGGCCAAGGATTCCACCTGTGGCACAGTTGGAGTTGCATCTTCTTCTCTTTGAGTATGAATCGATAACCAAGGTCTTTGTCCGCACAGTGGATCGTCCACGTTGGCGCCGTGTGTTTGGTGCCTCTCAGAAAATGACGCAGATTGATGTGGTGATAGAGGGTGGGAAGCCTGATCGTGCCGTCTTTGAACGCATCAAAAAGTGGAGTTATATGCGGGAGTTTCATTCAGACGTGCATGTTGAGTTTACCGCGGTGGCACCAAAGGTGCAGGAGGGGGACGAAGCGCAGGCCGTGTATGAGACCGCTGACGGCAAACTTTTGCGTGAAATGAAGGCGTTCCGCGGTGTTACACTAAGAAAAGCAATTGGCTACGATGAGCCTCTCCTTGACGCCCATGGCAATCCAGCTTCATTCGTAGCACGACAGTAAAACGAGGACGAAGGCGGCTAACCTCGTGTGTGGCTGTTTGTATTGGGTAGTGGCGTTTGGGGTGAAGTCATGAGTTTGTCAGAGAGAGTAAGAGACAATGAGAGTATGTTGTCGCTGCTGCCTCCGCGTTTTTTTTTTTTGTCACAGGAACTGAGGGTGGGTGTGTGTGAGAGGGAAAAGTCCGCTATGTTTCATCACAGTATTGTTCGCCGCTGTACTTCAAGGCAGGTGCTGGTTCGCTGCGCTGACCCGCCATGACGCAAGCAGGCATACACCACACATTACCCATCATGGCAATGACGTCGCTGGTTGCTGTCTGGCACCCTTTTTTCTTTTTTTCTTGTTTTCTGTATGTGTGCGTTGTTGGCTCTTGCACGACACTCGACCCCCCACCGCACAAAAGCGATTGCCCCCGTGTCCTGTGTGTTGCAATGACGGCGGATACAATCACCTTTCTGCACACCCTCGGAAAGCTGAAGGAAACGGAACGCACGGGTTGGGTTGAGAATGGCATTCCAAACCCAGAGTCGGTGTCAGACCACATGTACCGCGCTGCAGTCATGTGTATGCTCTGCCCTGACAAGTCACTGGAACGAAATAAACTGATCCGTATGGCGCTCTGCCACGACATGGGGGAGAGCATCGTTGGTGACATCTCCCCAAAAATGAGTGTTTCCAAGGAGGAGAAGTACCGTCGAGAAAAGGCGGCTGTTTCACATCTTAGTGGCTTGTTGGGAAACGAAGTCCCATTGTCGGGGGAGCTACTGCAGCTTTGGGAGGAGTACGAGGCGCAAAGCTCACCAGAAGCGCGGTTTCTCAAGGACGTGGATCTTTTGGAGATGGTCACACAGGCGCATGCGTATGAGCTGGCTCACCCTGAGAAAGATTTAAGTTCATTTTTTCTTTCGGGGGAGAAGATCCAGCACCCGTGGGCGCGGGGCATTTATGAAACCCTCCTGCGTACTCGACCCTCCGTAAGGCAAAGGGAAAAGGGAGAGGAAAGACCAAAGTGAGGACGGTGTTGGGCGTAACGCATGAACTCTTTGTTGCTTGAGGGGTTAGCGTGGGTGAGACTAGTGGGGCCAAATCGCTGGTGCAGTGGTACATGTATATATATATATATATATACGTATACACGCACGCTTTCTCTCTTTCTCTCTTTTCCCCTCGCCTATGGGGCGTCACAATACTATTATTCCCGTATGCATATGTATTGCGTCGTTTCTTTTTCTTGGATTGCATATTGAACGCTAAGTGTTTATTATTATTATTATTATTGCTCTTCGTTTGTTTGGCTATCGCTTTCTACCTTCTTTTCATGCTTCTCTTGTCGTTGCATGTGTGCCTCTTATTTTAAGCTATGGGGTTGAGGAATGCGGACGTTCATGCACGCATACTGAGGGCCCTCTCCGATAGAGGACTGAGAGTTGTGGTGCAGGAGGCGGTGGTGAGCAGTGTAGGCGCGCGGCTATCGCTTACCCCCTGCTTCACTTCACTTCCCTTCAAGCTGAACGAGGCGGTGCATGCCCTTTTGTTTCTCACGCAGTCGATGATTCGAAGCGATGCGGAGTTTGAAGTGGCCTTTCAGAGGAGTGAGGCCGCCTCGAAAAGACTTGCCGCTGAGTTTCCCGGGGATGCGGAGGAGTTTCTGCGAAGTGAAGACGTGACGGCAGCATTATCGTACATCACCGATTTGAAGCGGTTCCGTGCCCTGTGGGCCCTATTATTTGTCGTCAATTATCCACGATCGTCACCACAATTTGTCCCGCCTCACATTTTTGCTGTTCGCTGGTCGGAAGTGTTACGCGAAGATACTCCTCTTGGATGGCTTCGAGCGGTGCAGGAACAGGCGAAGCGGACCTTGGCCGCGATTCAGGCGGGGAACACGTCGCCCTTTACATATTTATTATTTGTACTGCAGCATGCTCTCTCCATGCGCACGGTGTTATTGGAGTGCGTCGCGGAAATGATGCTCAATTCTGCCGTGCGCTTTGATGTTATGGCCGTCGTGCGGAATATGCACAAGGCGTCTGAGGCGCTGAGGGAGATGGGGGAACTTCAGGGCATCTGGGAACAAGAGGGACTATTGTCGGATGCGCTTCGTGAGAGCTGCCTCTCGTATCAGTTTTCTGATCTTAACCTTTCACACAGTTTCTGGGATCATTGCGGTTTGGGCCAAATCCCCTCCCACACGGAGAGGCACGCAAAGTCATTTCTGCTTTGCCCCTTTTCTTGGATCCTCCAGCACCTCGTGTGGTGCCTGTACGGACGCCTAACACTGCTCTTTCAGAGCTGCTTCGTAGCCACGCCCCTTGGGAGCCTCTCCCGTCACGCCCAGAAGGAGGCGGGAGCCGCAGGGGTGGCGAGCCACGGCGGGTTACAACCCGTGGTGGGCCGCAGGCTCTCCCATGCGGACTCTTCCTTCGGGAGGAGACAGGAAGAACGTGCGGATTTGACCGGCAATTCTGCTGCGACAGAGGTGGTCTCGGTTCTGCGTAGGAGGGCGGTGACGTCGGCCTCGAGCGTGTCGGTGGACCCCGCGGCTGCGGGCCCACAGTCGCGGTCAAGGGTCGTGTCCCTGGCACGAGGGGAGTCGGCGGCACGCTTCGCGGAGGATGCGCCACCGCAAGCAAGTCATAGTGAGTTTCCTTTGCCGTTTGATTTAAATTATGCTGGCGCTGAGGGTAGTGAAAGCGGCTTCTTGGACACGCTTGGTTCCCACACACTGGCAGAAGCATTGTGGGAGATCACCCATGAGCGACCCCGTGCCACGTTGTTTTTGATTACGGACTGTACTCAGCGTCCAGGGGCGCGCGCATGGCAACGCAATCGTTGCACCGTCACCACCTGCGCGGACGATGTGGCGGGTCGACAAGGCATGGAGCACTGGGTGCTGAATTTTGTGTGTCCCAGTTCTCGACTGTCGGAGAATGCAATGAAGCGTGCGCAGCAGGAGTCAATGCTGCTCCGGACTGTTGTCTTTCAGGTGGCTGGATCAACGCAGCGGAGAGCACGGTTTACGAATGATGTTTCCGTGTTTTATGTGGTGCGCAGCGATAGTGACATGGACGGAGGAAGGCTGTACTTTGTTCTCCTGCTGCAACACGATGCCAGCACCAGCCATCTGCACGGCGGCATGGCGGATACAGGCGCAAAGGAGGTGACAGCGGAGGAGTCGCGCTGGGCGTTTCGCTCCCTGGAAGAGGTGTGTGCGGCGTGGAGTATGCCTCAGCTATGCAACCTGGCCGTTCGACTGGCGGTGGCTCTCTCGTAAGCGTGCATTCCGTGGGACATCTTCCCTCGAGTAAAGCCTCCCCCTTTTTTTTTCTTGTTGTTGTTGCTCTGTTTCGTCTTTTGCCGCCTCACCGTGGCGCCGCACGACGTCGTTTTTGTTGTTGTCGTTGTTGTTCTGTTCCCTCGTTCTTTTCCAAGTGATTGCTGTCGTTTTCTTGTTTGGGCTCCTCCTTACTTTTTGCTCTCCTGCCTCTTGTGCTCGTTGCGGCTCGGCAGCAAGAGCCATTGTACGCAAACACACACGCCCAGCGGGAAAAACTAATTTCTGCCGAGGGGACGCACAAGCGGGGGGCGGCCGAGCAGAAGCTCGAGTTTCACGGGACCAACAGCACAAGCAAAAAGACGGGGAGTGAGCGCTTCCACAGACAAGCGCCCCACCTGATTTTTTTCCGGCGTCGTCGCAGCCGCAGTGAAGAATTACCGGCGCGGAGATGCACGACGAAGGGGGCGGCGACCTGCCGAAGCCTCCCTCCAACCCGATGTCAGGGACGACCCCCAAAAGACGTGTCGCACACGTTGTGCGGAGAGAGCCAAGTGTGTCGTCGCTGAGGCCGGCAGGTGCGGAAAAGTCGCTGTTTTGCAAGCGAACTGGCAGCGTTGGCGGCGCCAGAAAAACGCAGACTGTGACGTCAGTCTCCAATGCTAGTGCGACAAGGCAAAAGCCAGCGTCCTCCTTCCCAAGGCCTGCTCTGATGAGGAACAACTCAACAAATGGTGACATGTTCCGCCGATTCACAAGCAGACCTCCGACTCCTCCTCCCACCAACCCAAAACAGGTGGAGGGGTTTCTGCACCGTATGCGAGAGGACGAGGCACGATGCACTAAACTGCATGAACTTCTGTGCGAGAGTAGGGGTATCCCGTTCCACGCGAGTAAACGGTCCTATTCTAGGACGCCGTTGCGTGCGATGGAGAGCCGAAACGACACCCCACGGGATGGCGCGATGCGAAGTCGTTCGTCGACGCCTGCACGCAATGTTGCCTCTTCTGTGCTGCGCCGATGCACCGGGTCAAGTGACAAAGTGCAGCTGTTTTCCACTCCGCATGCCAACGGAAAAGTGCCCATGTACTGTAGAAAGACGCCCAACGTCCAGCCGCGTGCGGTGTCAACCGCCGTGGGGTCTACGCCTGGAGCACCAGGCGGCAAGCGAACTGAGAGTGGCCTCGGCACGAGGCCAAAGGAGCAGGCGGTGCCGCCGCACCGTCCCGTCATCTCCGTCACTTCAAACAAGGGCGTGCCGGGGAACGGGGTCGTCGGCGCTCACGCTGATCGTGTAGTTCTGCAAGGCAAAAGCAGCAAACGACAACAGGCGTCGCCACCGAAGCCGCCGCCCCTTGGCACACCGCTTTCTCGCCGCCCGAATGGGGAGCGGCAACCAAAAGGCCGAGGGGGCACTGGGGCGATGTCGCCTCAAAGCATTTCCTCGCGCCGTATGAACTGCAGGACGGAGACGGCTCCATACATTGAATCCGCTGCCGAAGAACGATCGAGACAGTGTTCACCGAGGAAACTCGTGTACGACGTCACGGACGAAAGCCCGGCTCGTGTTGTTGAATGAGTTTATTTTGTTTTTGTTTTTTCTTTCTTGTATTTATTTAGTTATTTTTTTTTCCATTATTCTTGTTTTTGGAAGCTAACTTGTGCGCGATGGCCAGCCGCTAAGTGGGGTACGATCCCACCCGGTGGCCAGCCGTTGTACTGCCCGGCCAAGCGAGAGAAAACGCCGACGCGCACAACAAAAACAAGCAATCAAGCCCAAGGACAAGCGAAGACACCGACAGGAACCGCGGCACACCCCAACATTGTCAAGCAACGGAAAAAACAAATGTAGCGAAAGGTTAGCAAACTCGGGGCTACAACAGGGCCCGATTGAAGGCGAAGGGGACCATAATTCGGATAAAAGGAGATGAAGGCACAGCGAATCGATGAGCGCAGCTCGAGGTGAAGGAGCAATGGAGCGAGGGATAAGTGAAGCAGAAGTGAAGTGCTCATTCGTTTCGTGCCCTTTTCTTTCCATTTTTTTTTCACCGAAGCATTCTTTTTTTTTTTTGGTTCCCCGACTTGTGTTTTTTTTCTTCCTTGGTGTACATGAGTGCTTGCGCTGCGATGTATAGATGGCTGCACCTTTTGCCATTGCCAGGGAGAGTTGCGAGGGGAGTGGGGCGGGTGAGGGATAAATTGAGGGCCAGCAGCATAGAGGGTAAAGCGAAGTTAAATAATAAGCAGGAAAAAAAGACAAGTGGCACA